ACACATTTAGTGTTAAAACATTACATTTGATATACTTGTATTTATGGCTAAATTTTGTGTCATACGTTTGTATTTTTAATTTGCACCCATTTTTTTATATGTGCCATTTTTCTTTTTAGTTTTAATTTGCAACCATTTAATTTTTTCCGTGCCCATATTTTTATAATTTTCATTCGTAAAATGTACCCATAACTTTTTTTAACCTTTCATTTGTACCCATAATTTATTTATAACGTACCCATTTTTTATACAAAAAATGTACAACTTTGTTATATATATGTAAAATGTACCAATTTTTTATGTAAATGTATTCATTTTCTTAATGAAAAATATATTCATTTTTGCTATTTATAATGTGACTATATTTTATAACTAAATGTACCCTTTTTCAATTTATAACGTACCAATATTTAAAAATAAAAATAAAACATTTAATTTTGATAAAATATAAAATTTCATCAGATTTCACACCAATTCGAGGAAACAAATAAAATTCCTATTTGGTATTCATCTTTGCATGATTTTAGGAAAGATTTAATAATTTTGTTATTAAATTTTTTAAGGGAAGTATTATTTGCACTCAAAATGTATTTTTCTTTTCTAATATAAAAAGTTTGGACTGCAGAATGAGATTTTTGGAGTGCTAATAACAATTCCCTTTTTTAATTAATACTAATATTTAACATTTTGTCCTTCAATAAAAGTATTCAAACTAATAAAGTTCCAATTTTTTGGCAAAAAATATAAATAAAGTTTCAATCTAAGATTTTAGTCAATCAGAGAGCGAAATCAAAGTTTCTCTAAAATAATTTTCTTCAACATTTTAATTTCATTAGCCACTATGAATTATCTCTACTAATTAATAAAACAATCATTGTCAACCAAAATCTTATTAAAACAGAACATGAATAAGAAATATGGGGCAGAAATGTAATTTCACACAACCAAATTGTGTTTTTTTTTTCAAAGCCTCACCTTTATGTAATTATAACATATCTCTAATTAAAATTAAATAATAAATCAATAAAATTAAATAATAAAATTAAAAAAAAAATTCTCACTCCCACATTCTCTATCACTCTCTTCCTCTCTCCTTCTATTTCAAAACAAAAATAAAAAATTTTCTCACACACTTTGTGTGTGCCCATATGCTAGTTATGTAATTATCCGTGTACCGTGCAAGGCTCCCTTTGGATATTTGAAAATAAGTTTTTTTTTTTTTTTATTCGAGTGATAGCGTTAGTAAGTTAAATGTTAGATTAGCCACCGGAGTTTGAACACACGCCGTCATGCAAACGAAAATAAGAATTTGTATTTGACAATAAGTTAAATTTTCTAAAAATTAAAAAAAAAAAAAAAAAAAAAGATATTCGATTGAATGCATTTGTTTATAATTGGATGGTGTACATATGGAATTAATGAATTTAAATTACTAGCTATATGAATAATTCGAAATCCAGTTGTTTTATCCATATTCCTTCTTATTCAAACCCTATCATATATTAATATGGATAAGCAAACAAGTTTTAAATCATTACATTTGAAATCACACTCCATCCAAATCGGTCGTAATTAAGAATGCTTGTGACTATATATGATATAGTTTATGTAAGATTCACCTGGGAGGCAGAAACTTCTCCTCTTGTACTCTTGTACGTGCACTGCATCTAACCAAACCATTTTTTTATTTTCTGGAACTTCTGCAGTGGTAAGAAAATCCTTTTGGTATTTCAACACTGAAGCAAGGTCAACCCTATGTACGCGTTTGATTATCTATAGTGTTATCGGACTAAGTCAAAGTCGAGCATTATGTTATTTTTTTGCCAGAAAAATTCTGCAGACGATCAGACTTGACTCCAATACTTTAAGAAAAACGACTTCAGTAATCCAAGCTTAATGCATGCATGTATATTCAATTAAACTCAGTAATTAATTTATTTAAACGATGGTGATACTTTGCGCGTTTAATTGTGGGGAAACTTGACTCCAACTCTTCTAATTCTTACGAACACCAGTCAGTGCTGATGGAATTTAGTCTTGAGCCGAAGTCTTTTTTTTTTTTTTTTTTTTTTTTTTTTTAAAGGAAAACTAACGAAAATAACTTGAAAATTTTGAGTTTTAACTATAAGGACAAAATAAAAGGTCAAGTGAATAGTACCAGGATTGACTTTTTAGTGTAAAAATGTGGTTTTTCGTCAAAGTATTTAAGTATCAGGAGCATTTAAAGTTCCATTTTTTGTATCTATAATGTCCTAACCTAAATTTCTAGTCAGTTGGGCTAGGTCAGGAAATGCTTGCGTGGATCCGGGCTACAAAATCCAGATGACAATTGGGGGCTTTGAGTTTCTTGGCCTAAGGGTCATTCCTTGTTTCTTTCCTTAATTTGTTGGGCCATTGATCTATACCCAAACTTTGATTAGTTAATCAATTTATTGATTAATTGAATAGAATCGGTCAATAGCTAACTATTTAATAACTTAATATGGTGCTAACTAATTTTTGGGCCTACACCACAAAGTAATCTCATTGATTTGAATCGTTCATTTTTTATGTCCTTATTCATAAATCATTCTTGCAAAAATTCACTCAAAGCAGAAATCTCCAGCCCCTTAATCATTATTATAAACATTTCACAGTTTATCAACAACATTATGTTCATCTACTTCTAAACTCCCAATTAGGGAACTAAACGTCTTCTGATTTTAGTTAAAGTTTGTAAGGATGATCTTTTAGTTATAACCTTAAATATGGTTGATTTAGATTATGAAAAATATTGTAAAATATGCCTAAACAAGTGATTACCTATGTATTAACTTACTAACCGGTAGGTCAACAACCGCTTTAGGACTAGGAGAAAGAATGATAACACAAACGTTAGTTAATCCAGTTGCCCATGATAGTGTGAATGTCTTCCTAGTCTCAAGTTTGAATCTTGTTTTTTTTTCCTTGTCTTTAACTTACCGATGTACTCACCACACTGGTAAAAGTACTCATCTTCACCTCTTGTGTACTAAGAAAAGATTACCATGATAAGCAAGACATGAAAGACATTTGAATACTTCATTATGGCCAATTTCTTTCCATTTACTTGTTAATTCTCAATATATAGATTCATAGAAGTACTTGTACCAATATAAACACATAAAAATGATAATATTGGCATGGACCGTAGACTGTAGGCTTGAGCAATTGCTCTTGCTAGCTTTTCTTTGTATCGACATGTTATAAGCCAACTTAGATTGTTTTGTTTTTCTATTTTGGTCAAAGCACAACGTTTTAAAGTCAGTAAAATGGATCATGTAATGTCAAGATCAATATCTCTATTCGGTAACAATATAATTAGAGTAAAAAAAAAAATACTCAACTTCTTAAGCATTCAATATACTTAGTATCACAAAAGGAAGCTAAAACAGAAAGAAAATGCTAAAAGACAATCAAACTTGTCAAATTCTTATTAATTATTTGCCCCACCTAATGTGCTAAGAGTAAAAAATCTCTCCAATCAAATTAAATGGACGGCCATTTGCTTGCCACTATGTCAAACACTCAAACCATAAGTCTCAACCACACCAACCAACTCAATTAAATTGATAACCCATTAATCTCCTCCCCTCCCAAAAATAAATAAGTATTATATAACTTGTAACCCTAAACTTGTCTCCCGTGCTGAAAAGGTCCTAAAGCAAATGTAGTTAAAAGGATTATTTTGGTTCCGATTCTTAATCAACTAAATTGTTGAACTGAAATCTTGTTTGTTTAAATATTTTGATCGAGATCCTTAGTTTCATATAAGAGATTTAACTCATGCATTTATGAATTTAATGTCCCACAAATTATGAAATTCAAATAATATTTTAAAATATAATAAATACATAAAAATCAAATTAAGTGTAATATTTGTGACATCCCACATCGTCCAGGGAAGCGATCCTTATATGTATATTCTCATCTCTACCTAGCACGAGGCCTTTTGGGAGCTCATTGACTTCAGAGTTCCTACACCGTGAGGGAATGGTAAGCCCAAAGCGGACAATTTCGTGCTACGGTGGTGGAGCGGGCCCAGGAAGTGATCTGCCCCTGGCCGAGATGTGACAATATTGTTCTTCACAAAAATTATAACAAAAAAGTAATGTGCCCACATAATTATTAACATATTTTAAAAAATAACTATTAATATAGTTTAATACATAAAAATAAATACATATAATTAGCATGGGTACATTTAGCAAAATAAAAAATGGGTACAAATAAATTAAAAAATATGGGTACAAATACAAATAAAAGTTTAAAAAATATGGGCACAAAAATGACTTAATATATGGGTACAAATTAAAGCTGAAAAGAAAATTGGTACAACTTTTTTTTTACCCCCCCCTCCCCCAACACACACACACACACACAATTATGTCATTAAAAATTGGTACAACTTAAAAAAAGGCTTGCAAAATAAAAATGGGTACAAACTAAATATAAAAATATATAATAAAAAATTCAGCCATAAATATAAATATACCAAATGTAACGTTTCTAACACTAAATGAATATATTTAAAAGCAAAACAAAAAAAATTATTATTGACATAATTAATGACATTTATTAAAATCTAAGAATTTTGATCAAATTTTGAAAAGGAATAAGGTTTTAATCAATGGAGCAGGAAAAATAGGAATGGACACCTAATTTTTCCTAGTTAAAACGTTTCCTCTCACAATAATTAACAATCAATTCAAAATTAATTGGCAATAGGTGAACATGTTCGGGTCTTGTTAACATTTAATGCAAGACTTATTTTTTATTTTTCTATACGATGTATTCTCAACATATCTCTTCATATGTCGTATCACAATCCAAAAGACAAAATATTGGATGACTAACATAACATATATAAATCATCTACATGATAAAAGTTTTCAACTTTTTTGGATTGCCTTTAGCATTTTTACAATGATTTGATAAATAAACTCCACATGGTACACTTTAGTTAAGAGAGAGAAAACAAGATAAGCATAAAACACCCGCGCGCACCCTAGTACATGAACTAGGATTCTCCCTTCTTCTCTTTCCATCCCTTTCCATCCATTCCTTTCATATTCTCTTATTTTATCTTTTTTTTGCTATAAAAATTTAATATAAAATATTAACGTGTTTTAACCGTGATTGTTCAAATAAGAGAAAAATGAAAAGAAAGAAAAAAAAGAGGAGAGAAAATCCTGCTCCCCCGGACATAACTCCCAAAGTCTCAACTTCCAACGGATCACTCGTTGTCTAGTAAATGAACAAGACACCAATGCCGGCCTCCAACCCCCTAAACTCCCAAATGAAAATAGATTGTCTCTGTTTCCCTTCTTGCTCTTTCCTTGTTTTGACCAAAACCTTCACCCCATTAATTATCCCATCTTAGACAAGCCCGTTTAGGCGTTTCTTTTTGTTGTTGGTAACGGACATAATGAAGAAAAACGTTTCGAAGTCAAAACCCAAATTTCTGCACTGTTTCCGACCGGTGGACGTGGACATGGTGCTCGAGACCAAAGCTTCCTGGAGGAGACAGGTCCGAACTGTTGAATCCAGGGAGGACAAGAAGGCAGCTCCGCTGATGAAAACAATGTCTCTGGACAGAGGGTGTTCTTCTCCGGCAGATTCTGTGAACTCGAATATGCCTCCTCGTCCGAACAAAACTTTTTCCAAGGCGGTGAAAGCCGTGGTGTTCGAAACAATCTTGGTCGGTGTTCCGAAATCCTTAATCTTTGTTGGATTATAGATTTTGGGTTGTTTTTGTTTTTCGATTTTAACAATGGTTTTTTGGTATTTTGCAGGCCAAGACAGCTCGTGATCGGAAAGTTTGCCGGCAGTACTCGTTCGGATCAAAGCGGTGTTTTTCGTTCAGAAATGAGGCGTCCCTGAATTTGGGAGGCGATGAGTCGGTGAAAAAAATTGAAGAAACAAAGCCAAATTCTGAGATGTCGTTACATTCTCGTTCTTCCAGTTCATCATCATCCGCACTATCTTCTTCGAGTTCGGTTTCAGAATCCGAAAGGTTGTCCAAAACTCTCTTGGACCCGACGAAACAGAGCCTCGGGAATCCTCACAACCCCGCCGCGAAACCGAAGAACACGAAAGTGGGGTCCTACTGTTTCAACTCTGGAACATATTTTCTTCTCATCAGCCTTGCAGTGACGGTATTTTGGGGCAAGGCGATTGCAATCCTTGCCTCATCAATTTGGCTCTACTTTTTTCCGTGGCAGAGTTCGATTACAATCTCGCCGGAATATGTGAGGAGGTGGTCGGAGGCGGAGTGTAGGGATAATAACAAGAGGGTAATTATGGAAGGGTTTATTGATAGGATGAACCACCACGACCACCAGACAGAGAGGGGGCATTAAGTTTTTGACGTGAAAATTCTCTGTTTCGTGTTTGATGCAGCTTCTGTGGTTGGAAGGGACATCAAGATTTTAATTGTGTAGGTTACTTGTGGTACACTGAGGAGAAAACACAGAACATTCTGCATTTACATTTACTTCTCTGTTTTGCCTGTTTTCTTGAGACCTGTGAGTTTTATGTGGTTAAGTTATATATATATATATATATATATATATATATATATATATATATGTATATGTATATGTATATGTATATGTATATGTATATGTATAATGCAGACTAGCCATGCCACAGAAAATTGGAAGCGGTATTCGTGTTGAAGAATATCTTGGTTGTAACCAGTTATATATAAAAAAATATGAATTTATATTCAGTACGCAATCAATGAATTTCTCTTGCTTTACTTTCGCTCCCTCTTGGCGCGTATTTATTGACCTCAATGTGAGAGGGTCTCGCCCATGGGATTACATGCTTTGTGAGAAGTGTGCTTATGAGATTTGGCACACCTTATCATGATATGGTCATTTTGGCGATTTTGATTTGAGGAGTAAAACTTAATAAGAACTAGTGCATAAACTAAAAAATATGACTAATTTTGGTAGGATTTTCTGATATTATGATAGATCTCATATCGGAAATGAACATGGAATCAAAATACATGAAATCTCATACTTTTTGTGAGAGTTGTCTGATAGGAAATCGGAAGCGTGTGTTTGTGTTAAATTGTTGGAAATCTTGGTTGTAACAGAAGATATATCAAAAGACATGGACTGTTTTTTACTCTGCTTGTATGTCCTTGCTCGTGAGTGTCTCATTCATCACGTAATATATCTCTAGTGATAAGGCATAATCACCCCCAGTTTTTCTTTTAGGAAGAGGATCCTCTCCTGAGCTCAAGATGGGGATCCTCCTAACCAGCCCATCTGGACCGTTCAAATTTAATCCAACAGCTCCACACAGGAGGACCCTCTAAAAATTATAATAATTTCAACCGTTGGATTAAGTTTGAACGGCCCATACAGGCTGATTAGGAAGATCCCCATCTTGAGCTCAAGAGAGGATCCATGTCTCTTCTTTCAACCTCCCTATAGTGTCATTAGTCATTATTTAATCAAATTTTATAAACATCCAATGCTTGTAAAATCTGGCACATCATATCATGATGTGGTAGTTTTGACAATGTAAATTTGAGCAGTAAAATTTTGGCTGGTACTATTCGCAAATTTATTTTTATTTTTCACGCATTTTTGTTAATTTTTGTTTTTTAATTTTTTTAATTTATTTGATCCAACTACATACCAAAAGTTAAAAAGTAAAAAAAAAATTGTATCTGGATACCACACCTCTAAAATTTTATAAGAACGTGCGCATAAACTGCAATTGATGCTGATGCACGTTGCACATCTTTATTTATTTATTTATATTTTTTTTTTTGACATCTGTATTTATTTATTAAAGACAGCCTTTTTTTCTCCTAATTTCACTACCTTGTTTATTGAGGAGCTTCCAAAGCATCTTAGAAATCAATGCACTATCTGTTTTTGTTCAATGGGTTGGTGCTTTAGGCATATAATGTGCTTAAATGAAGTTTCTACATGGCGCTAAGCACTAGTCGGTGGCGGGTTGGTGCTTAGCGTCTAAGCGTGATTAGGTGAATTAGGCGGAGGTTTAGGTGGTCTAAGCGGGGGCTTAGGTGGATTAGGTGGGGGTCTAGGTGGACTAGGTAGATTTGAGTAAATTTATTATGAGTCGTATAAATAAGTATCTGCTTATACTTTAAAAAGACACAATTTCATTAGGATACATACACTGTAAAATAGAATGCAATTACTGATTATAAAGTATTGGAACATAATGAAAACATGGGAAACAAGCAAATAATTTGTGTTCATCTATGTATTTAACAAGTTTCTTATAACTTATTGGAAAAAATAAAATATAAAATGAAAGTTATCTACTATCTATCTAAGTGAAAGTCGCGACCTAGGCGGGTCTGGGCTGAATAGGCGGGCCCTTAAGCTGTTAAGGCAAACCCCTAAGCGGTTGAGGCGGGCACCTAAGCAGGTCTAGGCACTCTTTTTTAATTTTCAAACGCCTAGGATTAATTAAGACGGTGGTCAGTCGCCTAACGCCTAGGCGACTCTAGGCGGGAATTTTTAAAACAGTGACTATGGAGCCAAAAAATATTTCCAAAAATTATAGAGTTGTTACGTGGATTTTTTGACAAGAAGTTAGATGGACGACGCACACCAGAATTTTCACGCACGTGCAACATACAATAACGACTCAAGATTCCCTCCATCCTTGAAATAGTCAAATGTGATTATTATAGAATTTATTCAAACCACTATCATTTCCTCATTGATTTCATTCGATAAGGTAACTCCTAAAATCCCTTATTCAATTTAGAATAATTGCTATAGTAATTTCAAAATATTATTTCATATAATATCTTGAATTACTCCACTAAAAATCACCATAAATGGTTGGCCACTCCCAACCCTAATGGCCGGCCACCCTCCTATAAATACCCCACTTATCCCACTAAAATGTTAAACCATTTGTTACCCACAAACTCCTAAAAATACTTTCTTCTCATAATATTAACTTTGGAATTGGAGATTCTTCGGCCAAACTCCCACCCCCTCCCAATTCATCATGGGCATGCGTGAGGCTTTTAGCCTTAATCGAAGATGTTATTATTTTGCAAATGTATTTTTATCAAAGAAAAAGACGATGAAAATTTACATCTACATTGGCTTAAACAGACCTAAATTTTATCATTTTTGGCAACATTTCGCACATGGTTACATGTCCTTTTTTGTTACTGCTTTCTACAGTTTGTCCTCTTGGCTTTATAGCCAAAGCCTTCTGGATTTAAACCACGCAATTGATACTGATCTTATCAATAATATCGAAAGATCTCAAAGTTTAAATAGCATTAAAGGAAGGGATCCAATTCTTTACTACCTACCAAAATCCATGAAGATGGTCAGATTCAGAAACTTCTTTTGTCATAAGATTACTGAGCTTGTCATAATATTGTTGTCCAATATATTAAATGGGTTGTTTGCCACGTGGATTGCAGATAGTTGAAGTAATTGTTACCTGTAAAGGGTTTAAAAGCATCTTCAAATGAGATATTAAATTTTAAGCATAAAATTATGGTAGTTTGATATCATTTAAGTTTTGCTTGCTACTCAATATGTCAAATTAAATTATTATTTTATTACATTAAATTATTATACTAAATGTTTTAAACGATAATAAATTAATAAAATGAATTTAATAATCGATCAATTTTTTTTTAAGCTGTATTTTGGTATTAAGGGTGAGAGCTGTCAATCCATATCATCCCACATTAGGCTTGGTTTTTCGATTGGAAAACGTTGTTGCTGCTTTTTTTAACTGTTATTACTGATTTAGACATTTTGATGTCTTGTTTGGAGATATTCTAGTGTTGAAGTAAAATGAAAGATCACTTTTTTACTATACTTTATGTTGTGACAAGTGATGTATACAGCAAATTCAAACATTTTGACGTCTCGTTTGGAGATACTCTATTGTTAAAGTAAAATAAAAGGTCACTTTTTTACTACACTTTATGTGATAAGTAATGCATACAACAAATTCAACATTCGACAAAATAAATTCATTAACTTTCCTATATTAATAATGTGGTTCAAATTCAGTTTTGACGAGAATCAAACTTAAGACCTCTCACTTACTAGTGAAGAGGAATAACACTAGACCGTAGTTTAAGTGGCTAATCTAACTGAATTATATAACTTATCAATAGTAGAGAATGAGAGATTCTTAAGGGTCACCAATTGTATACTTATATGTGCTTATTTTTTCTCATCAAGCAAATTATATGATAAGATAATACACATAATTATATCAAATCAATGATATAATCAGATTTTTTTTTATAGAAGAAGGTAGAGTACAAGGTACCATATATGATTTTCTGAGAAGAAGTATTGGTTTTTCCTTCCTCCTCTTTCTTTAATTAAATCAAATCCAAGCAAAAAGGTTTGTCTTTTGCTCTTTTTATCTACTTTGATTAATAAAAGATCAAGTGGCTAGGCAGGAATTTAATTAAAGTTTTTCTGTCTTTCAAGTGTAAAAGGAAGATCAGAAAGAAAGGGACATTTATCAACTTATTCATTGCAAAAGCTAGAGAAAAAGAAAAGTGTTGGGCCATTCACTTAATAAAAACCCCATAAATCACACATATTCCGTTTTTTGCATCCAACAAGTTTGAAGAGGAATTTTCATGTTATAAGTACACCGTTATGACTATGAGAGCAAGTTTTGGCGCAATAGAGAAATTATTTTTTTGTGATTGAAAGGTCAAAAGTTTGAGTCGTCGAAGCAGGCTCTTTGCAAAGTAAAAGTACGACTGCGTATGACAGATGTTCCTCCGAATCCCCACCCGATCCTCACAAAGCGAAGAACCTTGTTGAATTGGGGCCGCTCACAGGTATACCTTTATGATGATGTTCTTTATTATTAATATATGTAGGGCAAAACTAACATATGTTCATTTATTATTAGTATGAAATGTCACTGTATTAATATATCCGTAACATACAAGTCATTCTCAAACTTAATTAGCCATTAAGGCACTGCAACTCTGCCTTCTGGCAGTTTCTTAACGGTATACAAGTCATAAGGGATGACTGGATCTAAGTACAGACCATAAAAAGAGGGCACCAACGACAATAATGATGATACAAAAAGGTACCCAACTCTTCGTTTTGCAGCCTTGGAATTTCACATGTTTCCTGATATTTAGTTCAGGGTTTTTGTGTCAAAAGCAAGCTATGGTGACGAACCCTCTCTTGTGGGAAGAGATTCTTAGTTATCTTCGGTTTCATATCTCTTTTAATTCTTTCGTCATGGAATCACCAAGTTACATAATAAGAAAGATAGATACGAAGAAATATACATTATAAGATCAAAATGTTAAAAAAAGGAGCATCACTAAATCACTTTCACTTTGTTATCAACCAAACCAAGGCGCCGAAGTACAGGAGTACACTTCCTTTCCTTTACGCTTTACCCTTTACAGATCTTTATCCATTTACAAATCTTCTTCCCTTTACAAATCTTCGCTATGCAGGCAAACTCAAATTCACAAAACCAGAAATAGATGGTATCATTCGTATGTAACTATTTATAATGTGTTTTTCGAGAACTGAAGAACTTGTAATCTGGCTGCCTGTTGGAAACCATGACGTGATCCTTGTAAACGCAGCCTCTACCAAAACGTAATGCATTATCCTCCAACGTTCTGAGCCTTTCTTTGAGAATTTCTACACTGTTAGAAGTAGATTCGTTTGAAGAATGTACGGAAGGTGTTTTGGGTTCAAACCAGCATTCACCCTACAAGAAGAATATCCACAATAAGTTTCTAAGCGAGCCTATATCAACAAGTAACCATTGTTCAAAGCATTATAGCAGTATGCAGAATAGGACTTGTTCAAAACTTGTGATATCATTGTCACAGTTAGCCAGCATATAGTGTTTCCCGACACTTCCAAACTGTCATGGAGCGTGGTTTTATGCTCCGTCAGTTTCAATTGTTGATGTCTTATTATTGCTTCCAACCCTTTCAGTGATTAAGTGTTGCACAGAAAGAGTGATCTTGACTGAAATCAAGGAGCATGAAAGACAAAGAGTATTGATTTCTTACATGTGCGTTGTAGCTTTGCAATCCTAACACAGGGCAGACGATGCGACTTGTGTACTTATTGGCAGGATCAACTGAAATAGGCCTCTGTACAAAATGTCCAAGTGAATGGTAAGTCAAGAATGTAGCACGTAGGTTGCCTTCTGGAATTCGATATATAGGATACCAGGCCACCGAAAACCTGAAAGCCACATTAACCCAACATTCTTAAACATGCTAAGAATCAGTAGCAAGCCACATAAATCGAATAGCAAAATTGATTCTCACCAAGATGCAGGATGTAAATCGTGCAAATTCAGACAATCTAGCTTTGACGGGTCACCAAATATGTGATGATTAGAAGTTCCAACATCAGTTAGCTCCAAAACTCTGCAATCAATTAGAAATCAGGTACATCAAAACTAGTAACCAGTGACATGTATCTCAAAATCAAAATTACAAGCATGCAAATACGAGAAGTGAGGAATACTCAGAAGTTCAAAACAAGACATTAAATTAGGAACCAATGTAGTTGAAATAATCATTTGGAGTTCTTTTTGCACTTTCATCATTGTTTCAAACATGGATCAACCATATTGTTTCAAATGAAATAATCATTTGGAGTTCATGGTCCATTTCAATATCTATTTGGAAGTTTCTATCCCTCATTCTCAAGTAAAAAACTAGGTTCCACAGCAATTTAATAATGTGTAAAGAAACCGAACAGCTAGAGAAGTAAACAAATATTGTTAACAATCAATCCAATTTTGATTACTATTTCTAGAAAATTTTCCGCTGCAAGATGAATAGAACAATAAGAAAAGACGAGAGTGGCAAGAACATACTTATTGTAGAAAGGCAAGATATCTTAGTATAAGAGTGGCAAGAACATACTTATTGTAGAAAGGCTTTCGCTGATATGGCTGCTCAGACTCAAAAAATTCAAATATGAGCTCTGAATCAGGTGAACAATCTAGAGTCAAAGGGACACTTCCATCATGTTTCTCTGTCCCTGCCTGAAGATGGTTGAGCTCAGTTGCTTTTGAAGAGTGTGTTGCATTCAATGTTTTGGAACAAGAGTTTTGGGGTTGAAACAACTGAACAGCGGAAAGGTAAGGAACAAAATAAGCATGGAATGGCATTGAACTATCGAGGTTTTTTGAATCATCTGCCTTGACATCCATTCCGTAGTTCCCTGGTTTCTCATACCAGTTCCAAACAGTGGAAAGTGATAAATTCGGTATCTGGTGCTTGCACAGGAAACCATGAGACATCTGATCATCCAAGTAAATAGAACATTTTTTATGCACATATGAAGATGCAATAACAGGAGCAGCACAGTGGATGAATCTTTCAAACTCTGCAAGGGGACATCCCATTGTAAGCTGAACAAGCTCAGATGCTAATTGCATTCTGTAAGAAGCATTTAGACCTTCCACTGCCATTTGTGAGCCAATCAGGAACTCGTCGGTGGCCCTTGGTCTTCTACCATTTGCTTCATAACCGTTACTTTCAATGTTCTGATTCTCTATTTCAGCAGCGGACTTATAGAATTTTGGGCACTGATAAGAGTCTGAAGGCAATTGATGGCTAGATATTGAGTCTGCGCATCTTGTATCAGATGAAGGGAAAGGAATTTGACCTCCTTCCTGATGGTTATCGCTCAACTCCTTACTTAAAACTGGTAAGCTAAGGTTTAAAGCATCGCAAGTTCCAGCAGAGCCAATCCCCTCATTTCGCCTGGAATCTTTTGTACCAACAGGTTTCCATTGATGAGAACTTGGTCCAGAATTAGCAGCTTTCCTAAACTTTTGATCACTGTGATATCTGAACTGTGAGTATGGCATACTGTCCAAAGAAGCATACGAACACCTACCAAAATTATGCTCCATGATTGGATTCTTCCCGAGTTTGTATGGTCGAAAACCATGACTGGGAACATGATGAGCATGGTAAAACGTTCTTCTTGCAGTGTCTCTAGTCTGGTAATGGTACATACCAAAAGGAACCTGTGAATACTCTTTTTTCCCATTGAAATTCTCACGCCTATACAAATTAGTTGATGTTTCCCAATCATTTTCGGCACCTTGAAATTTACTTGGTTGTGAGACACATCTATGAAAACTCCCATTCAACCTCTGCTGAGAAAAAACCCATTGTGATGATTCATCCCCTACAAATGCTCTTGGCGGAATTCTCCGATGCATAGATGACTGTTCGTGTGCCATCCCCTTAAACCCATAAGCAGCATTGTTGCTAGGCAACAACACATCTCCAGAAAATGAATCATGCTCAACCCATACCTGATTCTGCGGCGGATGAACATGTTTTACTCCATATCTGTAACCTAGTTCCTTCACCCAATTCTTTCGTGCTTCCCGCTTCATCTTCCAATTGTGACCTAAACATCTGTTTTCCTTTCCATTTTTACCGCAGGCTCTCCCGGTTCCAGTCTCGGTACCTTCAGAAACACCGCCTTTCGAATCTTTAACTTCAACCTCAACAAAACTACTACTGCTTCCATCATCAAACCCACAATTGCTCATCTTTGAAGAATTACAAGAATCCCGCACACCAACTGACGATAAATCCTGGGTCTGGTCCGAAACCCCATCACAGATCTTTCCTTTCTTCTTATTCTTTTTCTTTTTCTTCTTCTTCTTCTTCTTCTCAGAAATCATCCCATCAGGAACGTCCGTACATAAAGGTACAGAATTAGGTTCAAAATTTCCCCCTTTTTGGTCCACCATCATTTCTCGTTCATAATCTTTAGAGGGAAAACACACAAAAAGAAGAAAAGGAATTTCAAGAAACTAGCACACAGAAATTCAATCTCAATCGAAGAAACCCAGAAAACCCAAATCTTAATGTTGTCTAATTGTGAAGAAAATTCCAATCTTTTGCAGAAAAATTCACAGAAAGTAAACGGAGAAATGCAACAAGAGCTAGGAATATTGAAGGGAAACTATTTTCTGGGAAATTAAGTTCGTAAGGAAAAAGGAAATAAAAGAAAAAGCTGCAGAGAAAGTACCTGAGAGAAAAAGCAGAGGGCGCGCGCAATGGGAAGTGGACAAGGAATTTGAAAAGCAAAAATTAGTTGGGTTTTTTGGTGGGGGTTTAACGGTTCGTTATGCTTTAAGCGCCGCTTGCTTGCTTCCGTTATGGTGTGACGAGGGTGTACCACTGTTCATTCGAGGCTTTGGATGTTTGCCACGTGGGTGGTCGTTTTGTTAGGTTTTTTTTTTACTTTGATTGAGTAATGAATTCATCTCACAAATTTCCATTTGAATAATGATAGGAAGAGCAAATTGTTTAAACAAAATGATGTGGCTATAAATGATTGGATTATTAATTAAGTATCGATTAACGTGTTTATTTCTTGTTAGTAACACATCATTTGGTTTAAAAAAATTGATATCCCTAGCATTACACTTTGCATTTACAACCTTGTATTTGTAAGAAAAGGAGGGTAGGGTAGAATTTGGAGTTTAGGGTTGTGAAATATGGGAATTTGGGGGTGATTCGGGAATTATTTTGTGCTAATGAGAGCGATTAAGATTTCAATCTTCGCTTCAGCATTCAACACAAACAACTATGTCAAAAGATGGTGGAGCCTAATTGAAGAGGTAAAAATTTGGGCGGGATACTTGGGTAAGATGATCAAGTTACCCTTTATTTTCTGTCCAGGTCGGCGAGAATGCATGATTTGCACATGTCACAATGCCATTTGACGCTCTTGTTTGGGATGGATTAACAAAGTTATCACATCACTTTTACTGTTCAAGTAAAATTTTCAAGTTCGAAAAAGAAAAATAAAGTTTTCCAAATTAACAGTCCATCACTTATGCATATGAAGCTTTAATTAATCAAACAGAAACAAAATTTATCTTGAAGATTTTGATATGAAGCATTACCAGAAGCTATCTACACACACACACATTGCTTATTGGGATAATTTGGATAATAATCCAATAACATACCTAATCAGAAGCTATCTACACACACAGAGACTAATACAGACAATTACTTTAGGATCAAACCAAATGACCAAATAGAAAAGGCACATCAAAATGCTCACTGATGCTCTTCAGATCCCTTGGAGATGGTTGAAGATGGGTTGCTTTTGGTCTGAGAGGAAGCAGTCGATGTGTTATTGCTCCGCGGGCGCGAACTCTGGTTCGAGGATGACTCAGTGAAGAAAACTATCTGCTCCTGGTCGTCTCCAAACAATTGAAGAGCTCTCGGAATTGGCGGCAAGTTGACATCGGAAACTGCCTCGAGGATTTGCACCACCTGCCCCATTGACGGCCTCTGAGCTTCATCATCTTGGACACACCAGCATGAAACTCTACAAACCCTAGTGAGCTCTCCTACGTCGGCATTGCCATCGAGACTCGGATCCAATAGGCTCAACACATCACTTTCTGGAGTACTAATCTGGCTAGCAGCATAAGCTGGGAAGAATCTAACTTTCCCATCTTCAGATTGCTCCGAGTTTCTTCTCCCCGAAACGAATTCAAACAGCATCATTCCGTAGCTGTACACATCCGCTTTCACTGTGATCGGCACGCCTGAAATCCACTCTGGCGCAAGATAGCCTCTTGTCCCTCTCATGGTTGTCAGGACCCTGCTAAACTCTCTTCCAACAAGCTTTGCAAGGCCAAAGTCTGCCACTTTTGGACAAAGTTCAGCGTCTAAGAGAATGTTTTCTGGCTTTATGTCACAATGTATGATGCAATCTCTGCACTTCTCGTGAAGATAAGCCAACCCCCTTGCTGTCCCAAGTGCAATTTGGTACCTTGTTTTCCAATCCAAGACCCCCGGACCCTTATCGTTGAAGAGGTGAGAGTCCAAAGATCCGTTTGGCATGTAATCATACACCAACATCCTTTTAGAACCTTCGGAGCAGAACCCACGAAGGCGGACAAGATTGACATGCTGGATTGTCCCAATTGTGCTCACTTCTGTTCTGAATTGCTTCTCCCCTTGGCTAACACTTTCAAGCTTCTTCACTGCTATGACAGACGAATCGGGCAATGTCCCTTTGAAAACAGAACCAAAACCTCCTCCCCCCAATTTTTCGGAGAAGTTCTTCGTTGCATCTTGCATATCTCTGTACCCGAATGCCACCAACGAACCCTCTACTGCTTTTCCCAGTCCTTTCACTCGCTTTCTCCGTCTCAAGATTGCAAACACAATAAGGCCTAAAAGAACTGCTACACCGGCAGTTGAGCCTGCCACAACACCAACAATCAATCCCTTGTTACTTTTCGAACTCTTAAACTCAGATGCTGCAAGTTTGAGGTATAAAGTACTTCCCTGGTCGTCACTTGATGTTAGTTGTTGCAAATCCGAAAGCTCTCCTTTCCAAACCGAACATCCACTTCTGTTGTAGGCATAAGCAGTGCAAGAGCAGTTTCTAAGGCAGAACGATTCACATTCCGCAATACTCCCAACCTCCGCAGACTCTTTATTTTCAGGCAATGACATGCTAGGAAGTTCAAGAAACCGGTCTGGCTTCCCGTTAGCACTAGTAGCATTTTCACAATACAGGCGAGTTTTTCTCGAACACCCACCAGAGTAGTCCATCAAATCCCAATCTCTCTTCGACTTGGGCTCAAAACCTTTCAAGCAATTACAGGCGAGGTTGCTTACCTCATTGCAACTTCCGAATGCACCACACAAATCATAAACTTCGCATTGCTTTCTTGGTTGAGACCAAAACAAATTCCATTGCCTGGAAGTCTCCAACCATGTCAGCTGTTGAATCTGCCCCGAAGTATGCATCACGAAACGAGATACTCTCTTACGATCATAAACAGAATAGGTGAAATAACTTTCGGTTTCATTCGTAAAATAGCTGAAGTTGTATATATAATTGAGCCTCATTTCCGGAACCAAGTTGAAAATCTTTGATTTTGGATCCCATTGTCCACTAGTCCAATACTGTCTAGACCTATTCCACAGTATGAAATACGCATTGCTTCCGTTGGGGTCTAACTCGAGCGAGAAAAGACCCGGTGCAGGATCCTCCGAACTCTTCCATGAAGTAAGAATTTGGGTTTGTTTGGTAACAGTGTTAAACCCAATCCTACCTCCTGGAAGCCATGTGTGAGCTGGATGATCAAAGCTTTGCCATAACGCCTCCGAAGTAATATTACCAGACCCCGATCTCAAGACGAGGTTTCCGGTATCCAAAAGACGTGCAGTGGTGGCGGAGGAGGAGGTTAAATTCGTTGACCAAATGGGGGTTTTGGACTCGTTCAAGAGGACTAAATTACCATCCGACATCCTCAAAACCGAAGAAAATCTATCGGAAACTGGGTTTTCTCTGTTTGCCACCCAAACTATGGTTCTCTCGGATACCACTTGTTTGGTGTACCACATGCCTATGTAGAAGTTTGAAGAATTACCTGGATTGAAGAAACCGAGCTCGAAAATCCCAGCGGCGGAGACAATGGTTTGGTAGCCGGAGAGAGATTGGTTTGCGGTGATGGAGTCGGCTGCAAGGGAGACATGGCTTTTGAGATAGCAGAAGAAAAGAACTGAAAGCACCAATCTTTGCTTGGTTTTGGCATCCATGGCTGCTCAGAAAAATTTGCAGACAAAGTTGAGAGAGAGATTTCTAAGCCAAATAGTTTTAAATCGTTTCAGTGGCCAAAAGTCATGATCGTGTGGCTAAAAGTCAAAGGTGAGTTTCTTTGTTTTTTTTTCCACAAATCCCACTGAGGATCCATATGTTTTTCTGCAAGTAAAGTTTTGCCAGATTTGGAGAAGCTAAGGTCAAGTGGTCAAGCAACCAAACAATGGAGGGATTGGACCGCATAAACCATGTTACTATGTGAACAGAGTTTCATCATATGTGTAGCTTTGTCAGCCGCAATTGACTTGACTAGGTCTATTTGTTTTACAAATTTTTCAGTAAAAACTTTCTAAGAATATTGAACTATTAATCAACTTATTAAATAATTATCTAGAAGCTATTGTGTGAGAAAAACTATCAAATCAAATATTTGAATGCAAAAATTACCACGGGATGGTTCAGTGAATGTAGCCGAATTTCAGGTTCGTATTATTCATGGCATGTTCTAGGTTCGATTTCTGTTGTTGATGAATCGCACAACAGTGACTAAGAGAAGCCGAAATGTCTCTGTGTGTCTTTATCGTCCCGAAAATGATGATTACCCTAGCAAAACCACTAATTGGTCCCTTTTTTTTTATAAAATATTCAAATGCAAAGATTGGTTATAGGTATGTGTCAAACTAGCAAAAATATTAGTGTCAAAAAATGATGGATTGTTTAGTTGAGAATTTACTCCAATAATGGTCAATTTGTATAACAATTCTTTAATCATATAAATGTTTTGTGAATCGCGTTATAAAGAACAAAATTTATAAAGATGTTAATATTTCGTAGGTAAGATAACGATAACACATCAATAAATTTCGCACAGGTAATATACTAATATAATAAATAATTTATAATTAATATCATGTTATATTCCTTCGTCAAATAAATAACATACGGTGTGGCCATGAAAATAATTATGACGGTAATATATAAAATACAAGCACGCTTTACATACGTTTGAACAAATTTTTATACCAAAAACAACAATTCCTGGGTCATGACCGTTTCCACCATCTAACCAACATAAGATGAACAAAATTGAGAAATTGAACTGTTCGGTTATCAGTAAGGTAAAATTCTCAACTAACCTCATTCAGACCGAAATAAATGGATAACAATAATTTACCACCCATCGTCCTCTTTCTAGTAAAAAAGAGAAATCAAATTGGACCCCACTAAGATTTGTCTGTTATTGTGGTGAGGTGTTGAAAAAGCTACACAAATCACTTTCTCTGATTGATTTTTGTTTCAATGCTAATTTCTGTCGTTGTAACCTTTCTTCCAGGGAAAATATTTTTCCATTCAAATTAAAGGTCTCCGTAACTGTGAGGCTGGCGGTTCGGCAGATTCAATCGTCACGGGGTCCACACAGAAGCAATCTCAGCCGTTCAATCTGTTGTTTGTGATAAATGTTCAAACCTACCTCGGTTGGGATGATCATATACTCGAGACGAAGGGTCCAACATTCAACGAACGGATGATCAGCCTTGCGTATGATTTGGTTGGAAG